GGCTGCTGAAGAGTCTCCCCTCTGTTCCGGGGTCTCCCTTCACCCTCCTCTCCTTGGATCTCTGATTAGGATACATCCTCTAGATTTAGGTGGTTTATGGGGAGGGTTTGCAACAAGCATGATGAAGGCCTTGTTTCATTTTAATTAATGAATTAATTTAGAGACAGGGTCTCGCTCTGCTGCCCAGGCTGGAATGCAGTGGCACGATCTCGGCTCACTGCAGCCTCAACCTCCCTGGGCTCAGGTGATCCTCTCATCTCAGCCTCCCGGGTAGCTGGGACTACAGATGCATACCACCACACCCAGCTAATGTTTTGTATTTTTTTTTGTGGAGGCAGGGTTTCACCGTATTGCTCAGGCTGGGCTCAAGTGATCCTCCTGCCTCAGTCTCCCAAAGTGCTGGGATTACAGGAGTGAGCCACCACGCCCGGTGCCTTGTTTTAGTACCTGCTTTGTAAATTGGCCAGGATTCAATATTAAATGTATAGGCCTTCTGAAAACACTCTCTAGTAACACACATGTAGGCTCTCTTTGTTACACACACACACACACACACACACACACACACACACACACACACACACACACACGGTAGAGCTGGGCGCCTGGCAGCCTTCCTCTTTGATCCAGGTGACATGGTTACACAGCAGTCATGGAGGATCTGGTTCTCACCTGTGTTCTGGGATGTCCAGAACCATCCACAGCCAACTTTGTGCTTTGTTCTGTGTCCTCAGATTCAGCCATCTCTGTGCACGTCCTCTGAAAGTACGGTGCTTTATCTCCTGATCTATTTATTCAACAAATACTAACTCTACTTTCCTGGGTCCTGGATCCCTTTGAGAATCTGATGAAAGCTGAGGTCCCCTCCTGAGGCACAATTTTGAACAGCTTAGCAGGTGGTTCACAGGTTTATCCCGACCCTCAGGCAGAGAACTCCAAAGAACTGAAAACCGAGAGGCATTTCAGGAATTCAGAAGCCTGGGGTCCTCCTTAGCCATGTCTCGACCCCTGATACCCCAATACCCTTCTTATATCTATCTCAGAAGAGCATCCCCTGAACCACACCCTAGGCACTTCCAGGGTTACCCATGCAGACTTAGAGAACCCCACTTCTCTCTGGGATGCCATGTCCCTGGTGGGGGGGTGTCTCAGGCCGCAGCTGGCCATGCCTGTTACGGGCCCCTGTAGCCCCCTCAGCAGGTATCATTACTGCGTAAGAGACCCATCATTCTGCATTAATCTGGGATCCATCATGATAGCCATGACCATAATTAATTTATTTGGTATTAATGTGGATGAAATATGTACTGTCCTTTCAGGGGAAATCAGGCTGCCTTATAAGCATTAGTTAAAAGGACCATTAAAATCAAACCTTCCCCAGATCCATTAGGCGAAGTCTTTCATCCTGAAGAAGATAAAGTTCTGCTGTGTGAAATGTCATGAATAATTAGGTTGATTGCTGTTTTAAACTCTGCCCTTGCTTCCCCAATGCCTCCCGCCTCCCTCCTGAAGCGGGGAAGGCTCACCTGTAGCCAGGCACCCTCTGTCACTGTCCCTGTCTGTGCTAGCCCCCAAGTTTCCCTCGTCTCCTATGACCACTGGTGTGCCTCTGTTTCTCTCTATGACCAGCATGGGGAAAGGGAGTAGAAACAATGCCACTGGACGATACTTTCAATGTGTCAATTTCTCCTTCCTTCCTGGCCTTGGCAGGGGGTGGCAGTGGGTGGCTTCCTTGGGAGAAGCTGCCTTGGTGGCAGCTGGTGGCTCCTCTTGCCTTGGTGCTGTTCTGGAAAGGTGCAGAGGTCTGCAAGGAGAGGTCTGAAGCCACATTTTCCAAACTGCAGTCTGCAGACTCCTTGCCCCGAATGCTGTAGGGGCTGACAAGTGCAGCTTCCGGGGTCTTCCCCAAACCACTGTGCCCAGGGGAGGGAGGCAGGCATGGAGGGCTTTTGTGTGTGCAGGATGGAGGTGAGGGGAGAGATGGAGGCAAAGGAGGGAGAACAGCTGTTAAAGGGAGCCTTGCTATGCTGACAAAATGTTTTCTCTGGAGCGTGCTGTTCCCTGGCCAGGCAGGGCTTCCTCCCTAGGAGTGTGTGAGGTGTTGCTGGGTGCTTTCTACACGTCTGTGGCACACAGTTCCCTGTGAGGATGTCCTCTGGGATCAACCGTAAGGGTGAGGAAGCCGGGAGGTGGAGGGGAGACAGCCTGCTTTGAGGGACTTAGAAAGTCCACCGGCTGCCCCTGCGAATTGAGGGGTGTTGAGCAGCTGGAACCTGGGGGTATCAGCTTTGGAAAAGGTGCCGAAGGGAGTCTCTAGTTCTCATCAGCCCCTTTGGTGGTTGAGAGTCCTGGGTACAAAGCAGTGAAGCTAGAGGGAGGCAGAGTGGACTAGACAGTAAGCTCTGGGTGGCTGGGGGGTTATGCCCATCGATTCTCAGAGTGGCAGGGTAGGAGGGAGGCTGCTCCAGGAAGTTGGGGGAAGCCAGATCCCCTGCCTTGTGTGCCCTAATCCTTTCCTGCTGCCCTGACAGGCGCTTCGGCACGAAATGCACGGCCTGCCAGCAGGGTATCCCCCCGACCCAGGTGGTCCGCAAGGCCCAGGACTTTGTCTACCACCTGCACTGCTTTGCTTGCATCATCTGTACCCGGCAGCTGGCCACAGGGGACGAGTTCTACCTCATGGAGGACGGGCGGCTGGTGTGCAAGGAAGACTACGAGACGGCCAAGCAGAACGGTAAGCAGCGTGGCCCCCACAATCCCCCTCCAGGCCTCTGGGCTGTGGCCTCTGCCTGAGGCGCCCTTCTCGTGGTGTCCCACCTGCCCAGCCCTCGGAGTCCTACTCTTGCACTGCCGCCTCTGAGCAGCAGCCCGGATCTCCACGATGAGCTAATGCTGAACACCTCCCGGGACATTAGTGCTCGCTGGCTTCATGGAAGTGTTCATCAAGTGGTGGTTCTGAGAGCCTGCCTGTTTCCGTGGTGGGCTCAGAAGCAGCCAAGGACCTGGTTGTCACCATCACGGCAGCCCCCTTCCCTGGGCCAGGGCTGGGGTGCTGAGGGGTGACTGGGAGCTTGGTCTGCAGTGGACACGTGGGGCTGCCGCTTAGTTCTGCATATGAGAGTGCACAGGGACCTCTCAGCAACTCCCTGCCCCAAAGGGCCTTGGTGAGAGCCTAGCACTGGCTTCCGCATTCTTCACACGTCTGGTATTTCAGTGAATTGTATTCTGTTCCCCGCTCAGGCTGTGGGCTCTTCCAGGGCAGGGGCTCCTGGTGTTTCTGCAGCAAGTGCCCAGCGAGTCTGCTAGGTGAAGGGGAAGGACACATGCCAGATTCAGGGAGGCTCCATCTCAGCAACATAGCTCCCCCCACCGCCTTCACAACCGCTCCAGGGCCCCTGTCCGTGGTGGCAGCAGGAGCTCTGCGCGGTGATGGCTGAAGTCAGGCCCCACGTTTAGCAGCCATACCTGGAAAGGCCTGGCTTGGCCCAGCAGCAGCGGCTCTCACCCTGCACACCATGCTTTTGCGCAGCCCGGGGGCTTTCCAGGATAGGGCCCAGACCGACACATTCCCCATGCTCCCCTCACAAGGCTAAGCCCGACACTTACTCCTGCAGCCCTACCTCTGGCTTCTCACTCCGAGCTGTGCCCACAGGCCCGGGGGGTCAGGCCCTGGCTCTGAATTTGGATTTGGCCAAACCTAACCTGATAGACGCATGAACACACAAAACATCCAGGTCCTTTGCCTTTGACTAGAATTTTGATCAGCTCAGGGTGTTATTGTGCAATATGGCTCTTGTTGGTAGCTCTGGGCTTGATGAGAGAGGAAAAAAATCAGCAACAATTTCATGTATCTCCTTCTAGATCTTTTCTGGACCCGTACACGTGTATTATACAGATCTGATCAATACGTGGAGTAATTAGTTTTTTGTTCAATGAACACAGTATAAAACATAAGGGGGCTGTGATGGTGAGGAAGCAGAGGGGACTCATAAGGGCCCTTTAGGTGAGCCAGCTGGAGCTGGGCTTGGCTTCTGTCCATGGCAGGAGGGTGTAGGGCTTCCTGTCTCTCTGAGGACCTCCCCTACCCCCCGCACCTACAGCTCTGAGCTTTCAGATTGGAGAGAGGCCTTTGACCTCCTTCCTCCAGAGACCTGGGGCCTCTGTAGACCCATCCCAAGGCTCTTCGCCTGAATGTACTAATCTGCTCTGGTGTCTTAAAACTCACTCCATGCTAGTGCCTTGGAGTCAGCTGTGATGTCATTGAAGATTAGGGTGGTTTGTCAGGGATGAACCACCACAGCAGGTGGACTCTGAGATACCAAGACACCTTTGGAAGTCTGGTGCCGTTCACTAGAGATACTAATACGGCATGAACTGGCTGAGCCTCGGCTTCTCAGCTCTATGGGGAAATCATAGCATCTGCCAAATAGGGCTGTTTCCTGAGGTTTATATAGGATGAGGCTTGTGAAATGGGACGTCAAGTAAGAGTGAGACCAACGTGGAAGAGAAGTGTAAACAGGAAAGCGAGGTGCACTTGAGGTTTTAAGCAGACGAAGGTTATACAGTGTCTCTGGCCTGTTCCCCAGGTCCTTCCCCCCGACCCACCACTACTGTCAGCGAGGCAGGGCTCTCCATCCTCGGCAATCAGTGGCCCTCGGAGCAGCAGGGGACCTGTCCACTGCAGAATGTGTGGCTGTCTTTTCAGGTTGTTTTAATTCCTCCTTGCTACTCTCCACCCTCCTTCAGGCTTATAGTTCCCTCCCGTTAGCTAAACCAAGGACCTAATGGCAGTTAGTTGCACCTTAGTGTGAATGATTTTGTTCACTTGTTCCATCTCCCTGGATATTTGCATTTTCAATATAATGAGGTTGTGTTTTATGCCAGGGACAAGTTCTAGGAGACCCTGCATCATTCAAAACTAACATATTTTAAGACTAATTTTCCCATAGGAATTAATGTAGAGTGTGTGTGGGGGGTGGTACATTCTGAGAGCACATAAATCCATAACCAGTGAAGTGTATCTTTACCTTAATGCCACTTGTTATTTTCGCAGCATTATCTTGAATACCTTGCAGAACGCTCTCTCCTAAATTAACAGCCCCGGGTATCGTGGTCTCGCTTGGCCTTCCTCAGAGTGTTTTATCACATTTAACTTCCGTACCAAAGTTATTGATTTTTGGGTACATTTTTCAGCACGAGCACTGCCACTGCTACTTAATGAATACTTGGATGACATTGTTATAGGATATAAAAAAGATTTTAAATTATAATAACAGTGAATGTTAAAATAACAGCATATTAGTCCCCATCATTGCAAGAAGAAAGTCCCGTGCGTGTGAGCAGCAGTGCAGAACCAACAGGCCACCACCCAGGATGATGGGTATATCCCAGTGGCGCTGTCATCCGGCTGTGGCAAAAAATTTGTGATTCCCCAGGCCAAGCTATTTTGAAATTGATTCTCAAGGAATGAAAACATTTTTGGTGATTGCATTATTTCACATATTCTATATGAGGACTATATAGGGCACAATTTCCCATTTGCATAATTCAAAGCTGCATCAGATGCTCCTGTCTAGACTCTACCAACATGCACAGAAGGGACTGACTCCTCAGAATGAAAAGGAAGGAATTTTGGAGGTTTCCCTTTGTCTTTTGGACTGACTCTCTGAGTAGTGTGGTCTCTGTGGCAGGAGCTCCAGAATCCCTTCCCTTCAGGTCCAGGGCTTCAGGGAGGGAGTTGGGCCACAGCAGTTCCAGGAGGAGTGACCACGCGAGAAAACAGCCCGAGAAGGGAAGGCACGGGGCACGTCCCCTCACCGTGTGCGCGCATGTCCTGGGCACACAGCTGCTTCACTCCTTTAGTGCCTGCCAAGACCAGGGCAGGCCGTGTTGTACCCTGGGCTTCCAAGGGGAGGTGTGTTCCTGGCCCAAGTCACTCACTCAGCAAGAACATTGAAGCCAGGTCTGCTGACGCCAGGGAGAGCCCTGTCGACGGTGAGGACCGAATGCATAGAAAGTCCTTAGTCAACACCAGTACATGGTAGGTGCTAACACATCGGCTGTTACTGTTCCTCAGAGAGGGATTTCTTGAATGGAAAGAACAGAGCAGAGGCAGGGAGGAAGTCAGGAATGTCACAGAGACACTAAGGGACATACAGGTGAGCAGGCAGAGAGCAGAGCGGCCCAAGCCAGCTGCCGACTCTATTCTTTGTGTGCTCCAGGGGCACCGTGCAGAGAGCTGGGTGCGGGGAGAAGAAACAAACCTTTCCACTTACCTGTGCCACCGGACACACCCGTGCCACCGGACACACCCGCACTTCTCTCTGCCTGACGCGAAATGGAACCAACCAGACTTTAACAGGAACTTGAGCTTTTTGCTCAAATTCTGTTGAGCACTTTGTGTTGATCAGTGTGTTGCCCTGCACGTTCTTTAGATCAGTGTTTTCCAAAAAATTTTGACGATTCACAGTAAAAACACTCACTGTACGTTCCATCTCAGTATACACATTCATACACTAAAAAGTAAACAAGGTTCATGAAGCGATCCTGCTATTCTATTATTTTCTTCTTCTCTTCATCTGAGTTCCTCTTTTAGTTTTGATCCACTAAGTTGACTTTACAGTCCACGAGTGGGTTCTCACCCATAGTTTAGAAACCTGCTTAGACACTACTAGGTGTGCGAACTCATCCCTGGCTGTGAGCCCAGTGACGCCAGAGCAAAGGCACGCGGCTGTGGGGAAATGGGAGACGGCTGTGGGGAAATGGGAGACTCCTGATGAGACAGAGGGGAGGGCTTCCGGGTGGCTTTGAACGCAGATTTCACCCTGGCTGTTCCCCTTCACAGCTCTGGCAATATCTCACAAGGATGTGCGAGCAGAGTGTTTGTCATGGCAGGGACATGTGTGGAAGTGGGTACATTCATTCAATCTGATGGGACTTCTGTGCAGCTGGGCTGGCATGGGAGGGGAGAGGCAGGGAGCTGAGCAGAGAGAGGACTGTGGTCTTCTCTTTTCAGTGGCTTGGGAAGGCCTGTGGTGCAGGAGTCGCTGCCGCGGGAGTGGGGAACCTCTCCACTCTGTCCCCTGTGCCTCCCACTGCCCTGCCTACAGCAGGCAGGCTCAGGTGCAGAAAGGAAGGAAGGAGGGTGGGGAACGAGGCGTAGCTGCTGCAGATAGGCTGAACCTAGTAAGCAGTGGTTTTTCCATGCAGATGACTCAGAGGCTGGAGCTAAGCGGCCGCGGACCACCATCACAGCCAAGCAGCTGGAGACATTAAAGAATGCATACAAGAACTCCCCCAAGCCTGCCCGGCACGTGAGAGAGCAGCTGTCCTCAGAGACAGGCCTGGACATGAGGGTCGTACAGGTGAGATGCCAGCACTCCCGTGCCCTCGGGGGATCCCAGGCCTGGGACAGGGGTGGAAGGTGTCCTAGGCAGGGAGCATGAGTGACATCACCTCACTGGTGGTTGGGCTCAGGGCCACAACCCCAGGACTTTTGCCAGAACTGAAGGCAGAGTTCTGAGGCCAGGGAGAAGGGGTCGGGACGCATTGTACTACCAGACCGGTGCTCCATTCTGGCTTCAGTCCACTTCCAGCCGCCCACCTTGGGGGTCCTGGGGGCTTTGGATTCATGGTGGACCCCCCCGAGCATGTCCCTTGTGCTTGTGTGGCAGGTTTGGTTTCAGAACAGAAGGGCCAAAGAGAAACGCCTGAAGAAGGACGCGGGGCGGCACCGCTGGGGGCAGTTCTATAAGAGCGTCAAGAGGAGCCGGGGAGGCAGCAAGCAGGAGAAGGAGAGCTCTGCAGAGGACTGTGGGGTTAGTGACAGTGAGCTGAGCTTCCGAGGTGAGCAGGGCTGGAGGGGCCAGGCCGAGGCCTTAGGAACGTCCCCTGGGAATCCGTAATCCCTGGCACTCAGGAGGGATCTTTCTTGAGGCCTTGGCAACTCCCTCCTGAACACGGGCTTTTCCTCAAGAATTGCAGTGAAGGTGGGGGGGAAATGGTAGTGGCCCTTTACCACGTGACAGGAGTAGGAAACAAGATTGCTGAGGTCTGGACTGGAAGCTGGGACTGGGCCAGGCCCTGTTCTGTGGCCCCACGACCTCCCCCTAATCAGCCCACACAGCTGTGAACAGATGACCTGGTCCCAGCCTTGTGCCCCTAGCCCCTTTCCTGCCTCTTCCCCTTTGCTGGGACACTGGCCTACTCCCAAAGTCCCCTAGAGCCAGCCATTCCTCCAGTCCGGGTAGTGGGGAGGACACGCTCCACAGGCCCTTTTTCCTGGGAAATCAGAGTTGTGAGTGCATGTGAGATGGGGAACTGGCTTCACTTCGGAAACCCCTTCCCCCACCACTCACTTCATCCGGTCCCTGCACACAAGCTTTGCAGCATGCGCTATATTCAAATTCGTGCATCAGCAAAATTACAAATTACTGCGTGTTGTGAATCCTCAGGTTGTTTGCAAAGAATAAGTGTTCTCAGTTACTGAGTTCTCAGATGTGGAAGGTCTTCTGCCGGGGTTGGGTGGGGGGAAGGGAAGAGTACCGAACTGGCAATCAGAGACCTGCTTTCCAGTGCGGCTCTGTCAAATCTATCACTTCTCTTGAGCCCCATTCCCATGGGGAATACCACATCTTTGCCCATCTCACTGCGTAGCAGGGATCGATGAACACAACTGACTGTGGATGTGCTTGGGGAAAGCGTGGCACGTCTGTATACCTGGAAGGCCTGATTGTTCCTACAGGGAGCCTGTGGCTCCTGCAGAGGCCTGGTCATATGACAGGTATGGGCAAAAGGCTGACTCATGGCCCTTTGACAGCGGAGCCTTTGCCTTCCTGTTCCCTTTAAAGAGCATGAGCTTCCCCCAGCATTCCTTTTCATGAGGGGAACAGGGGCAGGCCTCAGAAGGGATACGGTGTTGAAGCCTAGACTGGGGAGGCCTTATTTAAGGATTGGTGCATTAGGCCCAGGTGGAAATAGAAAAAAGAAGTTTGTGGGACAGAGGATGGAACAAGTTGCTTGCCAGGACCATGATACCCTGGGAGGACAGTAGTTCACCCCAGAGGTCAGCTGAGGCCTAGAGGTCAGCCTCCTCTCAGAACACCGAGCTGTGGGGCCCTGGGGAGAGCTCATGGGTCTAATGCTCACCTTCTAGGCTTCTCGGCGGGATGTGGAAAGCCACTTAATCTCATCTGGGCTGCTGAAGTCACCACCTAGAACATACAGGATTGTTAAGCTCATTTCTGTTGGATACAGGCGGGTCCCTGAGCTGACCTCTCATTGGTCTCTCTGGGTAATTATATAATTGTTTATTTCCTGAGACTAAAACTGCTCACCTCTGTTGGAGGGATGAATTCTTTCAAATGGCAGAGATTCCATTAGATCCCCTTAATGAAATTCTTCAAGAAACAAGAAGGTCCATTTGCCTTAATCAAGTCAATTCTTTTTGTCCCTAATGAAGAGCTTATTGAATACAGACAGAAACCAAGTCCTCTGATGCTGAACCTCTCTTCCAGATAGGGCCAGAAGGGTTTTGTACAGATGTCTAAGAGTCGTCCTCAGCTGCCCTGACCATACGGGCCTGCTTGCTTCCCAACCAACTAAACCAAGCCCTTTTTCAGCTTGAAAGCTTTCAGAGTAAATCTTACCAGCAAGTGGTTTCCATTTGTGATGTGGAGAACATCTGCCCCACCCAGTCTTAGGCGGCATCCTCGGGGTATTATCACATGAGCCACTTGGGACCAACAAGCTCAGCACACATTTGTCCATCCCTCTGGGACCTGGGGGTTTAGTCTTTGCAGGTGTCTCGTTTTTCTCCTTGACCTGGGTTGGCCTCTGGATGTCAGGCTGCCATATCAGTGTGTCTGACCTGTGCTTGGCTGCAAGGCTGCTGCCGTCCTTGGGCATCTTCCTGGTCAAGTGTATTCCTAGGTTGTGAAGAGCAGGGGACCATCGGAGTCCTGGTAGCTGACAATAAATCTCCGTTCTTTTGTCCACAGAGGATCAGATTCTCTCAGAACTTGGCCACACCAATAGGATGTATGGCAACGTGGGGGACGTTACAGGCGGACAGTTAATGAATGGGAGCTTCTCCATGGACGGGACAGGACAATCCTATCAGGACTTGAGGGATGGGAGCCCCTATGGAATCCCCCAGTCTCCATCCTCCATATCGTCCCTGCCATCCCACGCTCCTTTGCTCAATGGGCTGGATTACACGGTGGACAGTAATTTGGGCATCATTGCGCATGCAGGGCAGGGAGTAAGCCAGACGCTGAGAACCATGGCTGGGGGACCCACCTCTGACATCTCCACAGGAAGCAGTGTAGGCTATCCTGACTTTCCAACTAGCCCAGCCTCTTGGCTCGATGAAATGGATCATCCTCCTTTTTAAACTTCTCTCCTCCCCACCCTATCTGTCCTCCTGGCTTGAGAGAATATCTTCAAGGATCAAAAGAGACTTGCCTTTTAAGGATCAAAAGTACGCCAATGTGAATTTCCATTATTTTCAATGGAAGTCCTCCGCTGATTCCTAGAAGGCTGTGAGATCACGCTAGGGCGCTGTTTTCCTGGGGAAGCAGCGGGAGAGCAGCCTTATCTCAGAACACAGCACAGCGGGTAATGGCCTAGAGCTCTAGGGACGCTGGCTTGTTGGGTCTCTCCCCTCCTGTTCTGCTTATGGGCTTGGCTGCTCAGTGCTTTGGCAGCACAAGGTGACTGTGATAGGCCCCTCTGGCCTTTGGGAACTTTGCTCCAACTGGTGTGTTTCACACAATGCCTCCCAAAACGCTGCTTCACCAGAACTGAGATTCCTGCGGGTGGAGGCCTCACAGCCCTTGAGTAAAATAGAAGTGATTTCTGGACTACCCTTATTGAACCTATATCTCAAAATGAAAAGGTCAGTTACTAAAGGTCAGTGAACACTTCGATGGCCACAGTTTGATATTAAAAACACGTCCCCCCCTTTTTTTTGCTGTGAAAATATGAATTCTTTCCTACAAAGCAGAGAATATGAGTTTGTTTTGGTTTTTAAGTCCCATATGTATCGCTGACTCTGATGGCAAGAGGTGGTTTTCATTGCAGGTGACTGAGGCTGAGCTGAGTGGCCCTGGGGCACCGCTGCAGACTGCCTGATGAGTCCCCTTGGTGCACAGTGTGCCTTCTTCATTTGCTTGTATTATTTATTCCACAAGACAGGCTGTGGGCTACAAAATGAGCAAAACTAAAATGTGGGGAGAAGAGAATGACAATCAGTGAACATTTGTAGACACATTTGGATTCCACACCTGCAGTCTGTTCAGCCGTATCAGCAAATGCCAGTCTTCCAGAGTTCCCCATCCTATTGGGGTGAAACATTTGGAGTCTGTTTTGAGGGAGTTGGTTTAGATGAGCTTGCAAGTCTACCCGTCTCCTTAATAATGAAAGCTTTCTCTGCTGTCCTGGCTGACTCAATTGGAGGACAGTTTTGGTCGTTTCCAGGAACCAGCAATGGTTTTTTGGCCTATGTTGGTTGGGAAGAATAATTTGGGGAGCAGCCCTAAAATTGTCCAAAGGGTTCTAAGTGGTCCTTGGGCTGCATCTCTCTGGATTGCTGGCTGGACACCTGCCATGCTTTGGGCTGCAGTTCCATGGTCAGAAAGCCAGAGCTCGCTAGCCAGTGCTGGTGCAGGGACTCCTGTTGTGCAGGTTTGCAGTAGCACATCACCAAGCCTGAGGCCAGGGCAAGGCCAACCCCTGCTTTACCAGTTGCCACTTCTGCGACAGTGCACTGCTGTGGGAAACACTGTTCTGAATGGTGCTTCAGCCCCCACTGGGTACACCCATCTGCCATCAGGAAGCTCTCCATTTGCAAACTGGAATTTAGCCAGCTGGGATTCATTCCTGTCCCTCTGGAAAGCTGTGGTTTGCTTCTTCTGGCCTCCCATTCTCTTAAATGAGATCAGCAGAGTGGAAAAGGGTGAGAAGGCACTGCCTTTCTATCACATGAAGTGATGGGGCCAGAGACCCTAAGGACCCTTCCTTCTGTGAATGGTTGGTCACCTTTTGAGGACTGCACAGATTTAGGCATGTCGTAGGCAGACTAAAGGAAGAATACACAGTTCCTCTTGGGCTGCTGCATCTTTTCTAAGCCTCCTTCCAGGACGAAACTGAGTTCATTTAAGCTTCTTTCAAATAGTAAATTCTGGGATCAGCCTTTGGGCCACCTCTTCTCTGACCAATTTTATAGCGTACCCTTGTTTTTTGGTGTGCTGCAGTGGTCATGATTTTTGCTTGAGGAGTCTGCAAATGTAGATGCTTTTCTTGAGGTTCCATGTTTATGGATGATGGTGTGTTAAGCCTAGCCAATTCTGTGCTATTGGGAATTCGGCAATCATGTGAACATTGGGGTGGGGAGGAAGACACAAATGCAAGATAACAAGCCACGTGAGGAAAAGAAAATGCAATTGTCTTTTGGAGGATGGCTTTTTAAATACACATGTCTTAGCAGGCTGCTCAAAATACACAGGAGAAAAGGCTCTGCTGGGCAGTGAGCCAGTTGAAAAGCTGCCCGCTCAGATCAATGTTGCAGGTTGACTATTTGGCTGACCAAGTCATGGATTTCAGGGGCACTTGATGTTTTTGGTGAGTATAGTGTGGGGGAGAGCAGGCTCTTTAGAGAGGGGGCATCCTCCTCTGTGTAGCACTGTTTAAGATCACTCTAAGTTTATCAGTCTTTGTTTCTGTAAGTTAATCACACTAATTCCCAGTTCAGTAGTGGAAGAAGGAGAGGCCTTACTCATTTATACTAGTATAATAAATCTCTTGAGGAACTCAGTGAACAGTTAACGAGATCAAGAGTTCTTTGGCATCAGTAGGGCTGGGTAGCTGGAAGAACCCTTGAGAGCACTGGCCTGAAAACCAGGAGAGCTTTATGTTTTCCAGAGCCACCTCCCCAGAATGCAGCAAACATTGTTGCCTGTTTAGAAGCACAGTCACGGTAGGTCTAAGATTTTTGCAGGTGGAGTTAGCATTATGGGTGGGCCGGTGCCACTAATGAGCCTCTGCATGACAAGACTGTTCCTTGGCTCTTCTGGAGTTTGGAAATGGAGAAAAGCAGGGCATTCATTACCTTTAGCTTCTCTTGGAGGCACTCCTCTGTTGCTTGGAAGTTCTATTATGGGGTATAACGTGCTACATGGTAGCTGTTTTCCCCTTGCTAAAATGTATGGATGAATTTTAAAAATGAAATGAGACCTTCTAGAGGCATTCACAATATTTTGACCTGTCTTTGGCTCTAAGACAGCAATTAACTAGCAACCATTATCTGCAGTGCATGGCTGGCCAATTTTAGAGTAGGAAGCTCTTGAATCCAGGACCAAATTATTTAAAACCTCACCAGTGGTAACTGGTATAAGCAAACATGGAAACTGAGGGGCTTTGGAGGAATCTGTATTTGTTGGAAGGTAATGAAACCATGGAGGAAATACCAGGTTTAAGGGCTAAGCTGGCCCAATGGGTAAATCACATTGTTGGGAGTGGGGTTCTTGGCCTTTCAAGGACTTACTGTGCAACCTCAGGCAAATTCCTTTCAGTCTTTGTGCTTTCTCTTTCTTGTCTCATCTGACAGTTATGAATATAATGTAAAATAAAAATCAACTATCATATTGCTGCCATTGTTCCTGCAAATGAATACTGTGAAACATCAGGGAAAGAAGAAAAAATTAAGACTCAAGAAAAGCATTTGGCAGTGTCCTTAAAATTTTTTTTCTTGGCCAGTGTAAAACAGGAAACCTAGTAAGGTAATCTGGCTGTTAGATCTTCATCATTAAGTTCACTTTGCAAGGAAGTGTAAGAAGTCTGTAAAACAAAAGACATTCCCATCTCTGAAGCTCAAGCTGGTGATTGCAAACTGCCTCCTTATGGGGGGGGGGGTTCAAGGCTTCCAATTAGAAAAGCTGTGTGCTGTATGACAGTCCACTCTCTGGAACCTACTCTCACATGCCACGACCGACAACTTGGTCATAACCATGAAAATAATGACCGTAGCCCGCAGGGTCTGGAGGGCCTGAGGAGGCTCATTTTTAAACATTGCACTTTAAAAATTGGAAACCGTGAGATGAAGAAAAATTCAATTAAGTGGAAATGAGTTTTGTTTTATTGCCTGCTGCTGAAGGGCTCTGGGCATGCTGAAAGCTAAATAAAAAGCACATCACTGGCTCTCTCTTTCTTGGATTGGTCAATTGGCCCTTTTTGCAGTAGTTGCTCCAACTGCTCTAAACACAGTGACTGGAGCCAAAAAGAGAGAGCTCAGCAAAGTCATTCCATCCACACTCTGCTTGGTAGGACCACACTAAAAGCACAGTTTCATGCTGCTAGCTCTGGTGAGGAGAAAGCTGCAGGTTTGGGAGGTACACCAAGCATTCCTTTGCTTAGGGAGGCGGAGCACAGGTGAACAGAGGAAGGACACCCCCTCTCTCATCTGTTGCTCACCAAGAGGCAAGAATCACACCAACTTTCCCACTTGAGGACTGTGTTCGGCCAAACAAGCAGGTTCAGGGCTGTGGGATTCCAGAAGTTGCTCTGAGCTTGCAGTCAGACCTCAAAGCCCCAGATCCCCTCAGCTCTGGATTGTTGCCCTCATCCTTCACAGTGTAAATTTTGTACAGTTAAAGAGAAATGAAGTCTCATTTCCTGGAGAAAAAAAAAAAAAAAAAAAAACGGAAAAAAAAAAAAGGACCCACCTATCCTTATTTATTGCCATGTGACTTCTTTGGAAAACAGAAGCTGGTGCGTTTGTTTGTATATGCCTCCTGTGTGTTGGCATGAGATGTATACGGTAACATTATGTAAAATAAATATGGAAATTCTTTAGATGCTGATGTGTCTTGCTTTTCATTTGGTTTGCTGGCAATTTTTTCTCTTGACATAAATAGAATAAAAACTGAGTGATATGGGGTCTTTTTTTACCATCAGAAGGAAACCAAAAATATAACTCTGAATGCCAGAACTATTATACTTAGAGCCATGAAATACCAGAACCACTCAATAAAGGATTGATCAGGAGAAGTTCCCTGGTTTTTCTAATAGCCACTTCCTGGGCACAGTCCTCTGTCCTCAAACTTAGGAAATGAGCTGAACAAATGTTGACCATATAATTTTTAATTACTGTTTGTTCAGTCGCATTTTATCTTACTTTTTGATAAAAGTCTTGCTCGGTTGCCCAGGCTGGAGTGCAGTGGTGTGATCTCAGCTCACTGCAACCTCTGCTTCCTGAGTTCAAGTGATTTTTGTCCCTCAGCCTCCAGAGTAGGTGGGATTATAGGCATGCGCCACCATGCCTGGCTAATTTTTTGTATTTTTAGTAGAGAGGGGGTTTCGCCATATTGGCCAGGCTGATTTAACTCCTGACTTCAAGTGATCCACCCACCTGGACCTCCCAAAGTGCTGGAATTACAGGAGTGAGCCACCGTGCCCGGCCTGTCCAGTAGCATTTTAAAAGTCCTTCACACTTATACATTTTTCTTTCCAGAGAAAGTACATGCAAGTGTCTATATTTACAGAGGAACAGAAACACCTCATCAGAGTCATCAGGGCTCCTGGACAAACATTTTCTAGGAAAATCTCCATTTAGGTTTTTTTCTCAGCAGGAGGCTTTATCAGTGTGCAGACCCTAAGTTTAGCTGGAATGGAAACAGCAACAGACTTTTTCATTACATTAAAAAAAAAAGTCATAGCATTTCTTTACAGCTGGGATTCCACTGTGGAAAAACTGCAGGGTACTTCTTTTCCCCATTAGTCATCAGTTCTGTTTGGCTGAGAAGATCCAAAGCAGTGGCACTGTCCAGTAGGGTAGCTACTAGCCACACATGGCTATTTAAATTGATTAATAAAACTAAAAGTTTAGTTCCTTACACTAGACACATTTTAAGTGCTCAACAGTTTCATGTGACTAGTGGCTACGGTATTTGGGCAACAGTGATATAAAACATTCATTGCAGATGGCTCTGTTGGATGGTGCTGATAGAGTCTCGTCAGGAAATCTTATTTATCACATGTTTAGCTACCAGTTATCCTGGAATACTTGGGGCCATGGGGCAAGGAAATATTCTGAGACTCCTTAGTGGCAGTGCCAACTTCTCTACCAGCTTATCATGTATGTGATGTTTCCCTCTCCCCTTTTGTTTTTTCTCCTTTCCTGGACAGATAAAACTTAAAAAAAAAAAAAAAAAAAAGCACTACACAGAACAACTTGGTTAGGTACAAAAAAGGAGGTTAGACTCTGGACCTCTGAGTTCTCTAATGCTGCCACCAGGTTGCTGTGACTTAACCTAAGTCCTAGGCCTGCTTTGTGCGCTGAGGTCTACCCACTTAAAACAGAAAGTTAGTACCTCCAAGGCAGAATGCCCAGTGAGATTCTTGGAGGGATTAAAGGTCTTTTAGTGGAGACCCAAAGCTCTGCTATCAAGGAGAGTCATAATCCTTTGCCAAAATCATCTCCTGTGGTAAGTGCTTTATCAGGCCGAGAAAGGCAAGAGATCTTCCTGGGTTATATACCAAGGAAGGGCGGAGAAGACGAGAGCTTCAAATGGGAGTAAGGATATTGGCAGGGGAATACAAAAGGTGCTGAATGTGAGGACTTTTTTCTTCACTAGCCCAGTCCCTTGGGTGGTAGTTAAGGAAACTCACAGTGCGGGCAGGAAGGGCTCTGTTGCTCCTAAACTTGGTTACTTATTCCTGAGGCACTGGTAATGGGCATGAGAATTTTGGCCAGTTTATGATGTCAATACCATGTTTTGGGGTACCGTAATTTGTCTTCCATTCTTAGCCCTTCATCACCAGCCTATTTATCAATTGTTTTGAGTACAGCAGGTTCATCGAACTGTTTCCACTCATGCTGTAGTGTACACAACTCCCACCACAATGCTAACCTCGTAACTTTTAGGGACTATACAACGTGTCCAGCTCACAAAGGACAGAAGATCTGGTCCCTCCCCCACCCCCTTATTTTGGTGGTTTGCTCACTGGAGACTGGCTCTGGAGCAGTCTGATTTTGTTTCTGACAGTGGCTTTCCAAAAAGACAGCTGCTTAAAGAATAAAGGAAAGGGGCCGGGCGCAGTGGCTCACGCCTATAATCCCAGCACTTTGGGAGGCCAAGGTGGGAGGATCACCTGAGGTTGAGAGTTTGAGACCAGCCTGATCAACACGGAAAACCCCATCTCTACTAAAAATACAAAATTGGCTGGGCGTGGTGGCGCAGGCCTGTAATCCCAGCTACTTGGGAGGCTGAGGCAGGGGAATTGCTTGAACCACGAGGTGGAGGTTGTGGTGGGCCGAAATCCCTAGCCAGAAAGAAGTAAGACTCACTCAGGAGAACACATGGAGGCTCCACAGTCAGCGTTCCACTGCTTTCCTATCCTTTCTCCTTGGGCCCAGGATTCTACTCAGCTAAAATCACAAAAGGAAAAAAAGAAATGAAAGGTAAGTCAGTGTGTCGTACATTTTAACTAACTAAACTAGAAGTAAAATCTTGAGAGGTGATCTCAGTGTATCTGCATGTATTTCCCTAGATTTGAAAATTTAAAAATTTTAAAGTTTAAAAATTGTCCCTGAGAGCCGCCGTGGCTCAGGCCAGCCTGGGCAACAGAGAGAGCTCTCATCAATTGAGAAAAAAAATAGTCCCTTACAGTCTGAAAGTGTGTCCTTTGCCACACTTGCTTAGAAGAATGCTATTTCAGTTTTATTCAGTTATTCAGAACTCCTGGTGCCTTTCTTCATAAAGTCTCTTTGCCTGGCTGTGCAGGAAGCACTGATCAAACTCAGTATGGCTGATTATTTGGCTTGTGACTGCCACAGGGAATTAAATAGTTCAGCCACAACTGTGGAGAAGTACTGAGTTAGGAGGCAGAAAAAAAATTGATGTTTATAAAATGGGACCACATCATTAGGAAAAAGGAAATTTTATTATCATCCTCCTAAAAGGAGTAGTAAATATAAACCATCCAAAACTATTAAATAAAGGTCTTTTAAATGATCAGCTCCTGCCCTGGGAAGAGTATATCACGTCCTTTCAGAGAAAGCAGGCATGGGCTTTTGCATGTAACATTTGTCTCTTTATGAACTTTTAATTCATTTTCTTCTGTCATTTTTGCCATTGTGATTTTAGGATTTTCCTTTAGAACTCTGGTGATTTTTCCTTTGGCCATCTCCAAAAACAAAAAAGATGAATTTAGGTATTACACACAAACTGGTATGTTATTCTGTAACTAAATTGGGCAAGTTATAAGGTGTCCCTGAACCGGTCAGAGCTTACATGGTTCAGAGAGGCCGAAGTGCCTCTAGAGTCGTAGGAGAGGCCTTTTAAAAAAAATTTAGTAATTTATCTTTCTCTTGCTTGCCAGTCCTAGACCAGGATCTCCTGTTGGTTGGCAGGGGTTGGGGATTTGGGAAAGGCTGGAAACTGCTTTCTGAAAGATAAAATATAGGCCCCGAAAAGTGGTCTTGGCACACACTTGGAGTTGGAAATAAAAAAGAGATCTTTAAAATGGTAAATAGATTTCAACAGATGGCTTCTGCACAGCAATGGAGAGCCCAGGCGAGGACTTTGGGGTTAAATCTCATATTTTAGTCACCTGGGACTAGTTTATTATTTCAGAAAAACAAACATCCATAAAGTTGACAGCCCCTTCCCCTCCTCTGAAGTGGAATCCTTGAAGGTTGCCTCCTCACTGGCCAGCTGTCTGCAGATAGTGACCCAGCGAACTGAAAGTCACTTTTTCGACACCTGTCAACTGCAAAGCTGGAGGGATATGATAACCAAGAAACTATTATTCCTGGTGGGCCAGAACTTCTATACTCAGTATGTGTGTGCTGGCTTTAAACAAAAAATCATTTTAACATTTAATGCTCCTCAATTAAAGTGATTTCCTGGAGTGGCTGCCAAGCTTCATTTAGAATGCGCATTAACCACTTTCTGTATCGGTAGTTAAAGGCACTGAGGGATTTAAAGAGCAATCCACAAGTCTGTTCAGTCAAGGTTTGGCGGAATAAAGCAGATTATAAACAATAATATATGTCTTTTTTTTTCTGGAAGGGCTCCAAACTCACGAACGGAGTTAAAGTGCTATAAACATATCCAGGACTAAGCTTTGGGCTCCACAAATGTACTCCATGAAAGCCATGGGCACTGGAGTGCCACTTTCTATCTTGTGTGTGTGCATGAGCATGTACTTTAAAAGAGTCTTTTATTACACAAAGTGTCCATCAATTGAACTTAGCTTCTAAATATTAAAATGGAAACCGGGATTGCTACACAAGTGAAAGGAAAAATAAATCCTACCTGTAGTGCCGATGATGAATTTGTGGCTGCTGCCTAGCACAGTCCATTGGAAATCACCTCTTGACTCCTTAATGCCCTCATGGTCCCACATGTTCAGCCACTGCATCCAGTAGCATTAGGTTCGAATGGTCACTTTCCCACCCCTGAGAGAAAGCACCCTGAGTGCCTAGAGCTCCACCACCGGATCATTTCCCACCCCTGAGAGAAAGCACCCTGAGTGCCTAGAGCTCCACCACCAGATCATTTCCCACCCCTGAGAGAAAGCACCCTGAGTGCCTAGAGCTCCACCACGGGATCATTTCCCACCCCTGAGAGAAAGCACCCTGAGTGCCTAGTGCTCCACCACCGGATCATTTCCCACCTCTGAGAGAAAGCACCCTGAGTGCCTAGAGCTCCATGGGATAAGTACCTGTTGTCGGGCAGCTCCTCCCATGTTTTCTCACCTGGTTTTTAACTTCGGTGTTCTATTGTTTAGGAATAAAATCAGCAAGAAAGATTCTGTCCTGCAAACAAATCAGTCTGTAATTTGTGAACACCCCGACCTGGTTTTTAGAACTAGGAATACAAAGGAAGGAACAGTGATTCCAGTACATGCATCCTGTAAGACAGTGAAAATGTGAAATAATTTGTTTTGTAATTGTGCTAAGAAAAAGTGACACAACAAAACACAGGAAAGAAAATTCTGAAGAATTCAAGTATAAAACAAAAATACAGGCCGAGTATCCCTAATCTGAAAATCAAAATCCTAAATGCTCCAAAACCCAAAACTTTTTCAGTGCTTACATGTCAAAGGAAATTCTCACTGAAGCATTTTGGATTTTGGCTTTTTAGATTAGGGATGTTCAACTGGTATGTATATAATACAAATATTCCAAAATTTTTTTAAAAATCAGAAATCTGAAACATTTCTGGTCCCAAGCATTTCGGGTAAGGAATAGTCTCCCTGAACTAAGAAATAAACCGTGAATTCCCAATAACTATGCATGATTCATGTGAAGTGATCCATACAAAGATCATGACAGGACTATTTCAAGGACAAGTGAATAAAGATTCGGTTAAATAGCTTTACCTGTTCCATCTTCTAGTGTAATGCCAATTAATGCATATTTGAAAAAGTGACCACACTTGGTACATAACAAACACTAGCTGACGATCATCAGAAGGAAGCATACTTTTTCCTGAGTCTGATAATCACTATACTTTAATCCAACATCTCTCTGGTGAAGCAACTGTGAATGATTACTGAAGTAATTAAAGATACTCAAGGTAAAGTTCCAATAATAATCATAATTTTTCAAATTATATAATTATGAAAGATGGTAATAAGGTCTTTTTTTTTTTTTTTTCCCCCCCAGAGATGGAGTCTTGCTTTGTCACCCAGGCTGGAGTGCAGTGGCACGATCTTGGCTCACTGCAACCTCTGCCTCCTGGGTTCAAGTGGTTCTCCTGATTTAGCTTCCCAAGCAGCTGGAACTACAGGCACACACCACCACGCCCAGCTAATTTTTGTATTTTTTGGTAGAGATGGAGTTTCATTATATGTTGGCCAAGCTGGTCTCAAACTCCTCATCTCAGGTGATCTGCTCACCTTGGCCTCCCAAAGTGCTGGGATTACAGGCATGAGCCACTGAGCCCAGCTGCTATTATGGTCTTTATGGTATAAAACGAAAGCTCAATGTGTGTATATAAAATCCACCAAGAGGCTGATAATGCACCTTTGAGTATGGCTGCTTTTGCTTATCCTGATAATATTGTTCAGAGAAATTTTTGGACTTGATAGGAAAGGCTTGGATAATCACACTGACTTTCAATAAATAAGGTCATGTGGTCAGGCGTGGTGGCTCTTGCCTGTAATCCCAGCATTCTGGGAGGCTGAGGCGGGCAGATCACTTAAGCCCAAGAGTTCTAGAGTGGCCTGAGCAATACAGGGAGACCATCTCTACAAAAGAAAAAGAGAAATTAGTTGAGCCTCATGGTGTGCACCTGTGGTCCCAGCTACTTGGGAGGCTGAGATGGGAGGATTGCTTGAGCCAGGCATGTCAAAGCTGCAGTGAGCTGTAATGGTGCTACTGTACTCCAGCCTGGATGACAAGAGTGAGACCCTGTCTCAAAAAGACGAACAAACAAAAAATGGTGTACTGCTGTTATTTCACTGAAGCTAAGATATAATTGAGTGTAAGAAATGTAAGTTTATGTATCACTAAGAAAAAAATGCTGGCAACTGAACTACGATAGGCCATTGTTTATAAAAGCCATCCAATTTTGGATATGTTAAAATGTGAAGTGCACTTCAGTCTGGACAACAGAGTGAGCCCTTGTCTCAAAAAACAAAAAAAAAAAAACAAACAAAAAAAACGTGAAAATAGGTGCATCTTAGAACTGATCAAATATAATATTGTAACTACGATGAGAACATTTGACCCAAATCACCTTAGGAACTGGGGATCTGAAATTCACTCATGAATATTTAAACTTAATATCTTCTATTTTCATTACTAATTGTAGCTGATGGGTTACATACCTATTCTATGATAAATATTTATTTATGAAGGGGGACTTTTAAGGGCTTGTAAAAAAGCTTTCACATTCAACTGAAGCATATATTTGTCTGGACACTAAGCTCTTCTGCAACCCAAGCTCAGCTCTGCTAGAGTCACACACATGATTCATTAATCTCAGAGATGCTGTAATGAACATGGAATAATAACCCACAGCCAAGTAGTTAAACCTGGCAGGAAGCTAAGAAATACCTATTTAATAGAAAGGTTCACTGGATTATAGCAACCTTTTAGCTGGAAAATGCTGAAACATTAAAAAAAGATATACTAGATATAATTCCAGATATTATACACTGGTTGTTACCCTTCTACCTGACAAGCATAAGAGATAATATGTGGCCAGTTGGCTGACTTCTTACATCTTTATTAGAAACACAGTTATAATAGGTTTAAAAGAATTTAGTTTCTGGTTGGTAATTCACTACTTTCTATGAGCCTTTTCAAGATATCTCATGTAATATTTTGAGATACCATATAATTAATTCTAAATATACATAATACTGAGAAAAGGTAATACCATGGGCTTAGAACAGTGTTTTAAGGCACAGGGAGATGATCTATAGATTATGATACGGTAGTAAGGGTGCTGAAAATGCAGATACGGATGACCGAACAATAGAGATTTTGGAAATTGGTTTTAGAATGTACTTGAAAAAGTTAACAGCTGTTTTTAGTGATAGCTTTGAATCTTTAAAATAAAAGTTATATTCTTTACTTAAAAACAAATCTATACAGTTTTAGTTGTGGCAAAACAGGTAATAAAAAATTTGTCTAAGAAATATCAAGTTCGAACTGCAAAAGAGAGATGAAAACAGGAGTTCCTTAATAGCTTCTTGCTCAAATACCCTGTAAATTAAAAATGAATAAATTGTTTTTGATTTCCTAATGTCTTAAAAATGCACAAAGTAATATCAATTAAAAACTGCATGCAACATCCTGGTCACTTCACTATAACTAGTGTTATGTTTCTTAAAACACATTCAATGAATGTGAAATGTGAGTTAAGCTAAACAGTAAGTTGCAATGTAGCTAGGATTCTGGTGAAATAACAGACAATGAAGAGAATGCTCTACTAGAATTACAGTATTTCAGTTATGCAGTAATGTGCATATCACTTCCAGAGATTAAATTATTTCAAAAATGAACCATCTTGGTGAATGATTCTGAGTTTATATCTCAGAAAATAAGAAGTTAAGGGAAAAATCACAAAATAAACAGCATTAATATGCGTTGTTTCTGTTATAGAGGGGTTTGTTCCAAAGAAAAGGTTAGCTCACGCTAATGAAAATCTTCACCAATGAGGACTATACTAAGCAAGTTTATTACTCAGTATTTTAATAGTAACACCTGTTAGAAAAATTATCTTTTTAAGTAGTTATCTTTGCATCTCAACTCACTTTTTATTCCATTTTTCTTCCTATGACAACTATCTACTTTCCTTATATAATAGGAAAAGTCAGTGAATTCCTCAGATGGAGCTTTTGGGGCTTACAGGGGGAAAATATTGGGAGGCAGTTTCAAGAGTGGCATACCTGGCTGAGCGCAGTGGCTCACACCTGTAATCTCAGCAGAGATTACGTTAAGAGGCCTGAAAACTGCTTGAGGCCAGGAGTTTGAGATCAGCCTAAACAACATAGGGAGACCCTATCGGTATAAAAAACACAAAACTTAGCAGGGTATGGTGGCATGCACCATGCCAGCTATTTCAGCTACTCAGGAGGCTGAGTCGGGAGGATCCCTTGAGCCCAGGAGGTTGAGGCTGTAGTGAGCTATGATCACACCACTGCATTTCACCCTGGGTGAAAGAGTGAGACCCTGTCTCAAAAAAAAAAAAAAAAAAAAAAAAAAAACAGTGGCATACTGGTCTATCCTTTAAATTAAAATGATGGCATACTTGTCTACATTTTTAATAAAAAACAAAGTTCTTCTGGTATCCAGAAATAACTTCACATTAACATATTAGATAGACCCAAATAGACTTAACAGTTCAGACCTAAGTTTTCTTTTTTTTTTTTTAATAGAGACTACTGCTACATATGACATGGTCATTACAGCCAATTAGAAGAGCCCTAAAGAAATTCCTTTCCTGTTTAGTGAAGGTGAATTTAGTATGACCTAACCCTGCTGAATCCTCCACAACCTGTTTCAATCCTAGAGTGAAAACACTTAAGTATTATTCTAAAATGCCCCAGGGTTTTGAGATTTTCAATAAATCTGGTTGTTCCTGACTTCTATATCCCTTATGTGACAAAATTCTGCTTTCTCCTTTGCTTTCTTTTTCTTAATCCTCCTCTTCGTTCCTATTTTCCCAATTCTGTCTGCCAAAAGAATAGACATTTTAGCTGCCTATTCAGACCAGGTGTACAAAATGCTACAAAAGATCATTTTATCTCTACCATACTGGGATATCAAGAAACTTTCCCTAAAGGTACATTTGCTTCTGTATGTTTTTTAAAAGAGCAGCCATGTTTAATACTGTGAAATATGATCTGTCTCCTCCTCTGCCCACCCTCTAAAGCAGTGATAAATTTCAGAGCATGCTCAGCAGAATTGGATTATATTATGCACAGTATACATGTTCATCACCAAAACTGTACTGCCTAGAATGTATGCAAGAAGAATGAATTGCTGAGACTTCAAAATCCCAGTTCCATAGAACTGATTTTATTAGCCAATACATACCAAAGATGGACGATAAAAGAAGTATTATTTTTGTAGTTTTCTTTCATAATGGAAGCCTTATGCTATTACAGACTGCAGTTTTCCAGTCTTTTGATTAAGCCTTGCCAGTTGTGTGCCGCTGTAGCACCAAGGAAACTGTTTTACAGCCTGTCACCTCCTCCGGTAGGCAGCCATCCTGGTCTCGGAGAGTGGGGTCAGCACCAGACTGGAGCAGCAGCTCTACAATGTCCAGAAACTCACACGCAGAGGCTGAAAGGAAAATTGACAAACATAAAAACAAGTTTACCACGAGACAGAGAAACTCTTTCACTTCAGCAGGAAAGAAAAGTGCTGAGCAGTAAGGAATACTGAACAATGAGCAATGTTACAGTGGCTGAGGGATGATCAGGCCTGGTAATGAGAACTGTGGTATTATGCTGGCTTTTCAAGCCTTAGGAAAAATAAAATTTACCTTTTGGTTGCCTAGAAACACACACACAAACAAATATATATTCCTAATTATGAGGCTTTTGGGTTCTAGTCTTTAAGAATGGGATTAAGGAAAAGAATAAAAAATAGTGTTTAAGTATCTATTTTACTTTGATCTTCATTTGTGTGCAGGATACGTCAAAAGACTAAAATACTGTCAATGTCAAATAAAATGTTTTGTTTTTAAAGAGGGGAATAAGTGGGTAACTAACTGAACTTTACAATTTGTAAATTTAAAAAAAAGAAAGGCATCAATGGGTGTTATTGGTAAGTCCAAGGTATAGGAAGGGGAAAAAGGGCGCAGAGATATCAAGATTTATAAATATGGTAAAGTATTGCCTCAAAATGGACAGACAGACCAGAAGCCTAGAACTGAGAGTGTGATCTATTCTTCTGCACACATATGAAAACTTAATTCATGACAAAGTTGGCAGATCAGTAGGGAAATAAAGATCCAGTGATTAGATGGTGTTGAGACAACTAGATTCTCTAAAGGCAAAAAGAGGCACCAGATGAAACATAAATGTCAATAAACATATAAAAAGATGAGCATTCCACATAATCAGGGAAATGAAAATTAAAACCAGGAGATACCATTTCATACCCACTAGACTGGTGAAAATGATGCAGCTGAATTCCATGGCCCCCCCCTTTTTTTTTGAGACAGGGTCTGGCTCTGTCTCCCAACCTGGTGCAGTGGCGAGGTCATGGCTCACTGCAGCCTTGACCTTCTGGCCTCAAGCAATCCTCCCACCTCAGTTTCCTGAGTAGTTACAACCATGGGTGTGTGCCACCACGCATGGCTCTCACTTTGGGAGTCTCACTTTGTTGCCCAGGCTGGTCTCTAACTATTAGGCTTAGGCAATACTTCTGCCTTGGCCTCCCAAAGTGCTGGGATTACAGGCATGCACCTCTGCACCTGGGCCTATAGCCATTTTATTGAGCAAATACTGTACCAGTCCTGTCAGGAATACAGGTAAGATTCCTGTTCTTGAGAACGTGCTATAAATATGTAAATAATCAATTCTAATACAAAAGAATGAAGAAGTACTGTGGCAGAAACATGTACACTGCAAAGGCAGGGAGGAAGGAGGGGACAGAGGGATCAGGAAACACTACAAATTGGTAGTAAGATGTAAGATAAGCTCTAAAGGTTCGAGCAGAATTCCTGAGAAGGAAAGGTACTGCAGAATGCAAAAATATGACTAGCAGAGGCATGAAAGGGAATGCTGGGAGAACTGTCTGCTGGCTCAGGGAAGCGATACAAAGAGTTGAAAGTAGAGAGGCTAGCCTGAAGTCAAATTACTAGGGCCTTGAATCTGTCACACTAAGAAGTTTGGGTTTTGTCAAGTGATCCACAGGCATTTATGAGGAGTGGAGTGGCACAATTTGGCAAACAATCATCTGATTTCTGTCCCTATAGTTTTCTTTTCTAGAAATAGAAATCGTAGAGCATATAGTCTTTTGTATCTCATCTCTTTCACTTAGCATGTTGCTTTTGAGATCCATCCACATTGCTTCAAGTATCAGTAGTTCTTTCCTTCTGATTGCTGAGTAGTATTCCATTGTATGGATGTATGCAGTCATCTGGGCTGCTTCCAATTTTTGGCATTAAACAGGGGTCTTATGAACATTTGGGTAAAGGTCATTGTGTGGTTCTGTTCTATGTTTTCACACCTTGTGGGTAAATATCTAGGAGAATTGCTGAGTCATATGGCAAGTGAATGTTTAATTTTATAAGAAACTACCAAACTTTCCTAAAGTTTGCATTCCCAACAATAAGCATCAATTCCAGTTGCTTTGCATCCTTTCCAGCACTTTACTATTATTAAAAATATTTTTGGGGAAGATCCAAGATGGTCGTTTAGGAACAGCTCGGAGTTGCAGCTCCCAGAGAAAGCGCAGAGGGTGAGTGGTCGCTGCATTTTTATTACCCACGGACCAGGAGATTCCCAGGCGGAGGTGCCCCACGGGTCGCCAGTGCGGCTGTTGTGGCCGTGGTTCTTTTGGTCCGCGCAGCTGCTTTGCCCCGCACGGCTGCTTTGTCAGCGCCCCGGCCGGCAGTTCTCCGTACATAATACACTGGTCCAGGTGCCCTTTTGGCTGGCGATTGGAGACCCGGGAAGCAGCCCATTCATCTGATTAAAGAGGGGACTGAACAGGGAGCCAGGCCAGGAGATTCCTGGGCAAAAAAAAAAGCGCCATGAATCTCAGTCCCGCTGTTTAAGCTGGTGCAGTGAGTCGCTGCACCAGAAATCAAACAGATCCCGGTGCCGCTTCAACAGGCGACGGGGATAGAGTCAACTATTCAACTAAAAAAAAAAAAAAAAAAAAAAAAAAAGGATCGCAGGCAGGGAGCCAGGTGATCAGGCTCAGTCCCACCCCCACAAAAGAACAGCAATTAGCAACTCTCTGGATTGAGAGTTTCACAGCAAGCGCAGCTGAACCTGGGACGGTCCAGCTCTGTGGGGGAGGTGCGTACGCCATTACCGAAGCACTTCACCACTACGGACGCCATTGCTGAGGCAGCCTGCCATTGCCAAGGCAACCTGCCACTACAGAGAGTCCACCAATACACAGGCGGGCCACCATTGCCGAGGCAGTTCTAACTACACCCATATAACAAGACTGCAGGGAAGTTCACAGGGCAGCTGGGCAGTGCCCACAGCAGCTCAGCAAAGCCTCTGCAAGAAGACTGTTACCAGGCTGCCTCCTTGCTGGGCAGGGAAGCCCTGAAGAAAAAAAAAAAAAAAAAAAGGCAGCAGCACAACAGAAACTCATAAATAAAGCCCTAACTCCCTGGGACAGAGCACCTGGGAACAAAAAGCGGTTTATGTGTTCTGCTGCAGCAGACCTAAACGTACCTGCCCAGCAGCTCTGAATGAACAACGGAGCTCAGAGCTCAGCACTTGAGCCCCTATAAAGGACAGACTGTCTCCTCAAGCAGCTCCCTGACCCCTGTATATCCAAAGTCACCTCATAAAGGAGAGATCAGACTGACATTTGGCAGGTATCCTTCTGGGACAAAGACAGCAGAAGAAGAAACTGGTAGCAACCCTTACTGTTCTGCAGCTGCTGCAGGTGATCCTCAGGCAAGCAGTGCCTGGAGTGGACCTCAGCAGTCCTACAGCAGAGGGGCCAGACTGTTAGAAGGAAAACTAAGAAACAGAAATAACTTCATCATCAACAAACAGAACGTCCACTCGGAGACCCAATCTGAAAGTCGGCAATCTGAAAGTGAGCAACTACAAAGATGACAGGAAGATAAATCCATAAAGATGGGAAGAAGCCAGTGCAAAAAGGATGAAAACACCGAAACCAGAACATCTCTCCTCCTACAAGGGATCACAACTCCTCACCAGCAAGGGAACAAGGTTGGATGGAGAACGAATGTGATGAAATGACAGAATCAGACTTCAGAAGGTGGGTAGTAACAAACTTCTGTGAACTAAAAGAACACGTTCTAACCCAATGCAAAGAAACTAAGAACCTTGAAAAAAGATTTGACGAAATGCTAACAAGAATGGACAAATTAGGAATATAAGTGAATTGATGGAGTTGAAAAACACAACATGAGAACTTCGCAAAGCATGCACAAGTTTCAACAGCCGAATTGACCAAGCAGAAGAAAGGATATCAGAGGTCGAAGATCAACTCAATGAAATAAAATGAGAAGGCACGATTAGAGAAAAAAGGGTAAAAAGGAATGAACAAAGTCTTCAAGAAATGTAGGACTATGTGAAAAGACCTAATCCACGTTTGATAGGTGTACCTGAATGCGATGAAGAGAATGAATCCAAGCTGGAAAATACTCTTCAGGATATTATCCAGGAAAAATTCCCCAAACTAGCAAGGCAGGCCAATATTCAAGTCCAGGAAATACAGAGACCACCACAAAGATATTCCTCACGAAGAGCAACCCCAAGGCACAAAATCGTCAGATTCACCAGGGTTGAAATGAAGGAGAAAATACTAAGGGCAGCCAGAGAGAAAGGTCGGGTTACCCACAAAGGGAAGCCCATCAGACTCACAGCAGATCTCTCAGCAGAAACCCTACAAGTGAGAAGAGAGTGGGGGCCAATATTCAACATCCTTAAAGAAAAGAACTTTCAACCCAGAATCTCCTATCCAGCCAAACTAAGCTTCATAAGTGAAGGAAAAATAAAATCCTTTGCGAACAAGCAAGTACTCAGAGATTTCATCACCACCAGGCCTGCTTTACAAGAGCTCTTGAAAGAGAATCTACACATATAAAGGAACAACCAGTACCAGCCACTCCAAAAACATGCCAAATGGTAAAGAGAATCAACACAATGAAGAATCTTTATCAACTAATGGGCAAAACAGCCAGACGGCACCAAAATAGCAGTATCAAATTCACACATAACAATATTAACCCTAAATGTAAATGGACTAAATGCCCCAATCAAAAGACCCAGACTGGCAAATTAGATAAAAAGCCAAAACCCATCAGTTTGCTGTATACAGGAAACCCATCTCACATGCACGGATACACAAAGGCTCAAAATAAAGGGATGGAGGAAGATTTACCAAGCAAATGGACAGCAAAAAAAAGCAGGAGTTGCAATTCTCATCTCTGATAAATTAGACTTTAAAGCAACAAAGATCAAAAGAGACAAAGTAGGACATTACATAATGGTAAAAGGATCAATGCAACAAGAAGAGATAATGATCCTAAACATATACACACCCAATACAGGAACACCCAGATACATAAGGCAAGTTCTTAATGACTTACAAAGAGACTTAGACTCCCACAT